ACACGGGGCTTCTCCTTTTTCACTGGCGCTGAGGTAAGAATGAGGAGAGCGGGGACACCGAAGGGTTTTACGGACACGCTGGAAGACTGCTCCGGCCCTGGAGACAGTCTGAAATAGACGACATTCCAGTTGAGGAGGCGAACCGGACCAAGATAGGTTCTAAGCACGGGTGTCTGAGCTACCCGATCCGCTCCCGACAGGAACGGGGAGAGGAGTCGAAAGCCGTTTTAGGGTCCACCGAAACCAAGAGCATAACGTGATAAAGTTTGGATGATCTGAGGATTAGAGTGAGACAGAGATGCCAGCTCACAAAAATCAGAAATGTAACAAAAAGAAGCATTTCCTGTCACCAAGCTTCCATTTCCTGCTAATCATTGTTTATTTGTCAGAGCTTAAAACTACCAGTACAAGCATTAACATGCTTTTATGTGCGATTAATCACATTATTAATTGTGTAATTGCATGCAAAGCCTTAATAGATTGAACATGCAAATTGTGGAGCTTTAATATTGCAAAGTGCATCCAGGGCAAAGTACATTTAGCTGCTGAAACCTTTTATTTTCCAAATAATTCAAGTATATCCATCCATTTTCCATAACCTCATATCAAGTACAAGGTCAAAGAGAGGCTGGAGCCTATCTTAGGAAGCACAGGACACAGGAGAGGCTGTTCTCTCGCAGGCCACACATTCGCACACTATGGGCGATTTACAGATTCCAATTCTTCTAACTAGGTGCTGGAGTGCAGGAGGAAACCGGAGTACAGAGAGGAAACCCTCATGAACACAGGAAGAACATGCAAACTCCACGCACACCGAGCTGGGAACTGACCCCACAATCCTGGGGGTGTGAGATCGCTGTTTACTAAAGCGCAGCTATGTTCTTCCACAGATGTTCTGAAGCATGACAGTTAAAATAACATACATCCTGCCAGTAATGATGTCTGCATTGACTCATTGAACCCTCATTCAGCTGCAGTCATATCCGTCCGTGAAAAAATCAATCAGAGTGTTTATCTGTGTAATGGGGTCTGTAGCATCAATAGTGAGACCAATAACCTTTGACCTACAGTAAGAAGGGGAATGTTTATGTCAACAAAAAGGTTTTTTTTGAGGGGTGTAGAATCTCAAAACAAATCATATGTTGCATCTGACCTAAAGTACTCAACAGACTGTTTTTCAATTACAATTACTAACAATGTAAAAATGAATAAATAATAAAAAAGTAATATCCGTCCGTAAACAAGTACCACAGTATCACAGATCACTTCTCATGTATATCCATCTATCGTTATCCATTTCAGAGTCACAGTGAGCACATTGTAGCTAAAGGCGGGGCCCGCTTCTGAAACGGAGCCCAGTCTGCCATTAATGACAGATCTGCAGGATGTATGGGTAGCAACCCTCAGTGTTTATTTACAGGGATGTGTGATCACTGCAGAAAGCCCGCATGCAGGGAATGTACGTCTGCCCCTTCTGGAAAGACTAATATTCATATTACTTACCAGCCAAAGTTTGGACACGCCAATCTGCCTACAGAGGAGAGTGATAGTGTCGCATCACATGACCTGGCCAGCTGATCTAAACATGGTAGAGATGCTTTTGATGGAGTTTGACCAGAGAATGAAGGAAAAGTGGCCAGTGAGTGCACAGAATATATGTGGGACCTTCTTCAGGACAGCTGGAAAAGCATCCCAGGAGACTCCTTCATCAAACTAGCATAGAGGAGCCAGTACCAGCGGCAGTTGGGGTTAAGCGTTTTGCCCACGGGCCCAATGATGGCAGTACTCTGCCAACCACGGGATCTGAACCAGAAACCCTCTGAGTTCCAACCCACAGACATGCCCCTCCCAACAAATGAATTTTTTGGGTACAATACTTTTCTGGTCAGTGCATAGTTCCATATATGTTATGATATAGTTTTGATGTTTTTATAATTATTCTAAAATGAAGAGACTAGTGCAAATAAACTTTTCTATGGGTAGGTTAATCCAAACTTTTGACTGATACTGTACTATTGTTATTTATATTGGTATCTATCTATCTATCTATCTATCTATCTATCTATCTATCTATCTATCTATCTATCTATTGTTTATTTATTTATTAATTATGCTATCTATCTATTGTTTATTTATTTATTAATTATGCTATCTATNCTATCTATCTATTGTTTATTTATTTATTAATTATGCTATCTATCTATTGTTTATTTATTTATTAATTATGCTATCTATATCCTGTATTGGGCTTTTTCCCCTTTTTCAGCACAGTCAGGGAGCTGGTGGGAAAAGCCTTTCATCACACATGTGTCCAGCGTATGCTTGTGTATGTGACTTGTAAGACTCCAAACTTGAAACAATACATGATAAGGCTGGTCAAACCATCGCACAGCATAACAGTAGCATAACAGGTAAACTGCGAACATGCTTTTCTGCGTTGGGGACTATTCTTGGCAATGCTTCACCGTTTATGGTATTGCGCTGTTTACCCTCGGACAGAGACAGCCAGGGCGACACAAGTTTGGAAACGTGCACGTATCCTAAGCAGCTCGCCGGGTCAGTCTCGCGCAGGAGGGGGAGGAGCTTCAGTGTGGTTCCACCAAGCATCTGTCTGTCAGTCAGCCAGGCCCCTTAAAGTCGAGGAGCTGGGAGATGCCACAGCTTGACCTGTGGCATTGCCATGGAAACCCTCAGTTAGCCTATCACAGCGCAGGGCCGTCTGAAGAGTTTGTGCTAGTTTTCACAGCAAACATAGAGGACGTGAGAAGATGAAGACCCAAGAGTGTGGCTCCAAACGGAATCAAAACATGGGGGGCAGATTATACACAGCACTAGTGACTCGCGTGACATCGAATCAGGCTCCCTGCTCCAGAGGACTGTGCCGGAATGACCAAGCCTTTCTTAATCTGTCATTCACGCTGGCAAACTTGGCAGAGAAGGACGTGGTCTCTGCCAGCTATGGGACCCTTACATGTCTGTCACCCCCCAGAAACCCAAACTGCTCTTTTACAAAGAAACAAAAATCCTTTCTGTAGGATCCACAGATCCAATATCACCCCCCCCCCCCCATTAGAGGCCCAACCAGCCATAGCTACTTTTAGCAGTTTTTTTTTTAAATAAAATCCTTATCAAATGTGAAAAGGGACACTCATTTCAAATGTTTAATACTATTAGTATTTCAAGTGATGTAATGGGTTTAGGTTACCTCACTGTGGTTTAAGGGAAGTTATTTCTGACTGGACCATAACTCACAACCCCACCACCCCCCAGTCCCCGTCACCCCACACCTCCCCCAACCCCAACTGTCACTAATTTTAAAGAGCTTCCAGGTACAGTAAATGAGCTACTGGCAGTGATCACCGCCCTGAAATCAGAGCGGGAAGCTTAGGGAAGGTCCCCACAATCCCGCAGGGGGCGACGGTGCTCAAGTCTCGTAAGCAGCATCTGACATTGGCTGCCCCCGCTGACAAGACACGTCTCTCATGGCCGTTAAACGCCGCCTGACAATAAACAGCAGCCGCTGTGTTGATGGCACGAGAAAGCCAGGCACTGTCTACTACAGTGATTTCCTGTCCATTTCTATTTTTTTTAAAAGCCAGACACCTAAAAAATAATCTTAAAAAATGTTCTGAAAAAAACTCAAGTCAAATACCACTTGAATTAAGACACATCACTCATTAACATAAGCAGAGGGGTTTCTGGGGGTTTTCGTTGAATCTATAAAATCTCCAATAGCGACTGAAATGTCTTGCATAATTTATTGAGATCAGAAGCCCAGTGGCACTAAGAGGGATACAGTCACACTGGTGGTTATTTTCATCTGGATGGTCACGGTGTTTACCTTCAACTTCAACCAGCATCTCATATTTTTCAACACACAGCACACAATTGCATGCGGCAGTCAAAGAAACAGGCCATAGAAACCAAAAACGCTCACTAATCAGACCGTCAGTGGCATGACTGGATCAGTCATCTAGATAAAAGTCACACATAACTTCCCTTTCTGCAGTTTTGTCTTTTATTTCTTTGTGATTAGTAGGAGGATGACCTGAATCCAAATATTTACACAGGCATAGTGACAAATTATCACACTTAATTATTTAAAATGCTAATATTGAGGGCCATTTATGGCCCTGTCGGTGTGCATTTAATTTCAGACACAGTCTATTACAACTATTTAAATCTTAAGCATTCCCTGGCTCTTGACATGTAAACCAGCAACAGATATTGCTCTTCTGGAGTTTAATAAACAATTTCAATGTCCATTATATGCGTAGGATTATTCAGACAGCTTAAAACCCATCACCACATCACCAGCTCATTTGGAATGTGAAGTATTTCAGAAAAGGAATCTTCAAATTTAAGTCATCCCTTCAGTGTGTTTGAAAGACAATAAAGGCAGATTAACATAAGCAACACAGCAAGAGCACGAGGCTCAGCGAAGAAATGCAGCGGCAGTATCCGACGCCCCGTTTGCCTCTACATGTGTGGCACAGACTGACACCCGGCACCTCGCCGTGTCTGCGATGATGTGCTGTTCATATTCATTTCCATTTCCTTTTTTTTTTTGTAGTGTCACTGCGTAAAATCCCTTAACGCACTCTCCTTGATGAACGTGCTGCGTCAGCATTGCAGTAACCACCCCCCCCCCACTCCTGCCCCCAGCCATGCTGTCAATTGTGACGATTAAATGAGTTTACAGGCCTGACTCCTATGCAGTCGAATCAGACGGATGAAGCCACATTAATGAACTGACCCTTGAAACTGACCCCTCGCTAATAACTGCTGGCACAATAAATTAACCCGTAGACTGTCCAACGAGCGGGACACTTTTGTGGGCGTCTGGCTATTAAAAGGTGACAGCCTGGCAATGGGATGTCTGACACCACTCCTCTTTACGGTATTCTCACCTGAGCTCACACCCAGCCACACACACACACACACACACACACACACATGCGCGCGTGCGCGTGCACACTCAGACACACGTGTTGGCTCACCAGCTGTGGGGTTCGGGGCTGATCTGCCGGTGAAGGGCTAAGGAGAACCCGAAGAAGCTTCCCTCCTCTCCTTCCTTGGTCAGCGTGTGGGTCGTGTCCAGATTGAAAGCCGACGCCGGTGGCTGGCTCAGCAGCAGGGCAGCGAGCGGCAAAAGCCAGCCGGCGAGGGATCCAGGTGAGGGGGAGGCTGTCCGCCTCAGTGTCCTGCGAGCTGACATGACAGAGCGGGAAACACGCCCCTCTTCAGTCCCCTTTCGGCGGCTCGGTCACTATGGGCCGGTCCTCCCGTGGATCTTGTGTCTGGGCAAACTGGAAAATAGTTACTACAGAGTGCTTTCCAAGGTTCTTTTCTCTCCTCAAGATGTTTATCTTATACCTGCCCCTTCTGTCCCTCTGAGTCTCATTCCCTCGCTCCTTTCCTCTCTGCTGTATGCTGCTGTCAGTCTAGGCAGCCTGAGAATAGGACGCTGCGCGGGGCTAGCCCGTGTGTGCGTGTGCGTGTGCGCGTGTTTGTGTGTGTGTGTGCAGCTCCCTCGTCTCCTTGTCTATGTGACTGAGAGAAGCAGTGCCGTGAATAGCCTGCACTCCTCCCCCACGGCCCACACCCCTTTCTCTCTCTCTCTCTCTCTCTCTCTGTCTTTCACCCTCAGCTGACATCAACACTCAGGGGGCCGCTGCCAACATACCAAGTACCGTTGTCCAGATACTTGGAAGCATCTGAAAAGAAAAAATGCACAAAGGAGAGAATAAGAGAGAAACTTTTTGAGAAAGACGTAGAAGTTACGGGTCGACGTCTCCTAACAAGCCAGGGTGCAGGTGCGGAGCGGTCCGGAAACACGGACAGAGAAGAATGGGACTAAATAAGTGCAGAGAGCAGGGGCGTCGGGGGGGTTCATTTGGTGACCTGGAACGAAGCTTCGTCTTGGTCAGACCTGGGTCATGCATGGTGACCCATAAGCCTCTGGGAGTGACCAGCAAAACGCACTGAGGGTCAGGTGCAGAAATGAAAAGGTCCTACGAAGAGAGTAGGGGGACGAGCCCAACCATCTGAATCTGGAGGAAGAGTCAGCTGACGACAATCATCAGTCAGCAAATCAGCTCACCTGTCTATGTTCTAGATATAGATATGAATGTGTGTTTATTGGCCCTGAGTAATTGGATAGAAGTCTTGTAGAGCTACAGCAATAAATACTGTATCATGTTTTCTGTGTTTTTCCATCCTTTCTCAGCTGTCACCTTTACTTGTGATGTTAACTTTTTGTCTTCCATCAATCCTGTTCTCAGCCAATCCCCATGACCCTTCCTGTTGCTGGAGAGATGCCACTGTGGGTGACCGGTGGTTTAGCTAAAGCAGAAAATGCTGTCCATTATATCCCATAATGCTACATGCTCCAGCCAAAGGAGAGCCCCAAGCTTAAGAGGGCACACACACACTCACACACACACATATAAAGGTTTGTGATTATATCTTTCTGGGGACTCTCCATTCATTTTTATGGGGAAAACTCTAATCGACGACTTTAACCCCTACCCAGCCCTAACCTTAACCATAAGTAACCAAACAAAATACAAGAGTTTTTTGCGTTTTTAGTTGTTTCATTGTAGTCACAGATTTTTTATTAAATTGAGTTTTTATTCATCACGTTGTGGGGACATTGTATCCCCATAAATTAAGGTATACCCACTCACACACACGCACACACACACACACACACAGAGCATTGGCCTGAGGAAAGCTGAAGTACTGCTGCTCCAACTGCCCCAGCTGCTGTCTCATGCTCCTGTTTCCCCAGCCCCCCCCCCACACACAGCTGTTCTTCAGTCCCCCCCCCCATTGCTTCCCATCAGCACTCTCCACCTGCTTGTCGTCATCGCAGTGATGCATCATAGTGATTCTTCACTCTATTCTCCACCGACCGCCCTGGGTTACTGGGACCAGTCCCCCGAAGCCAGATCACAGGTCCTGTAGCCCCCTGTCATAACTGCCAAGACAAACCAAACTCCCCCCATGCCTCTCCTTCTTGTGGACATACAGTACTGAAGTATTTTACAACTGTGTAATAAATTAGCAAGAGTCTCCGTATATTTACTGCTACTCCGAGGAATGATAGTATTTCGAAATGTTCACTTTTTTCAGGGAAGAATCAGAATGTTCGTTGATGTTATGTAATTCCATGGTTTGACATGGTTATATTTCATGTAATCCTGATTTACCAAAGAATCTTTCTAGAAGCACACATATAATTTTGAGGAAGGGAACAATTTGAAATAGGCTTAATTAAGCACACCCGTTATAAACAGCTTCGCATAAACAAAGGGCAGAAAAATGTTTATAATTAATCTCTAAAGCAGTTAATTTGGTCTATGATGCATGCAAGTGATTTACACTCTGTTAGGCCCTTAAGGAGAGCATGAGAAAGGACCTCACGGAATTGTCCCGTCTCTATGACTGTTTCCAGCTGAGCGACGCAGAATCAGTTGTCATGCACATGTGTTAATTACGAACATGTGGGAAAGAGGTGGGCTGGATGAAGGCGGCCCAGCAGTTTCTTATCAGAGGAGAAAGATGTTCCAAATTAAACAAATCTACTGGAAATTCCGACGTCAGCCAAAGGCAGACAAGCTTGGATTATTCCCTCCACATTTGGACACACCTTTTAAGAGATTGGTGTTGTCCCAGATGTGATCCAGAATGCACTCCCTGTCTTCTATAAATAACAAATTGCTTCTTCTCTGGCAGCTGTGGCCGATGTGAAATTCATGCTGGAGATAAGAACAGAGTCAGTGGAGGAAGATTCGCTTTGCATTGTGAACATTGCATAGGCCCCAGTAGTTGTGATAGTGCACTGTGCCAACGGTTTGATAGCTGGGTGTAAAAAAAGCCTGAAGTCTGAAGTGGCTGTACAGCCTGAAGAGCAGTGTCCACTGGTGAGAGGGAAGAAGGATGACAGTGAGAGAGAGATCGCTCCATCACCTTCTACATGAAGTCTGCTCCGCCGGTAATACAGTTTCGTCCATTATCTGTCATTTTTCACTCTCCACAAACACACCTTTTGTGTTTCTTTCCTTCCACACTTCGGACTATTTCATTGACCCACGCTGGAATATTAGGAGGCGCTGAAAACATGACCGGCTTCTGCTCACTAGAAGCCCTTAATCATCGCTAGTAAATTAGCATGATGCTGCAGGTCATGGGGCATCAGTGGCAGACAAACCATCATTCTGCAAATGCTGGTATGTCAAAGCAATTATATGGTTTTATAACGTAACGGTTTAAGAGATTTTAAAATGCGTTCCACTGAACTTTTTGGTATTAAAGCAAGAATGTATTGAAAGAGGACATCAGCTGCTCGGATCAGCAAACTTTGATGTCCTCCATTTTCATCCGTATGTAATTGAAACATTTGCATAAAGAATAATATTCCATATTCATGAAACATTTTTGTCCAAAGCTGAAACAATCCACATGTTTTACAGAACAAACAGCTGTGTGTCAAACAGAAGCCAAAAACACTGGAGAATAGCTTGGTCCTGAGCCTGGTACCAGATAGTTTCAGTGGTCTTACTGACAGCTTGGTCGCAGCTTTAGATTGCCTGGTTGCTGAATGGCTGAATTTCACCACTAAATATAAAGCAACTTTGAAAATAAGAAATTATACATACACCTTTGTGTCCTCCCTACTATGCAAGATGTCTGATGGAATCAAGTAATACAAAGAACCTTGAAATATTGGAAGCACCTTAATGTCAGCTTGGGCAGGAAGCCCAGACCTCTTAAGAGAGCCTCCTGGAGCCTGGACAGGGGGGACAATGGAGACGCCAGCTCTGGAGCACAGTGTTCCCAGCAATGCCAATCAGACCCAACACCACCAGCTAGAACTCATTAGCAGTCAACGCAGATATCAAGGAGAGAGCTTATTTTTAGCTGTAGTGCTTAACGTGGGGGGAATTTTTTTGCTCCACCTCCCAAAACCTGCTATCATCAACCACAGACACACACACACACACACACTCACACACACACGGACATGCACACACGGGGACACACACACACACACACACGGACACAACTCTCCACCACTGTTATTGCCACAGTTCCACGTTTCAAGTTTTATTTGACTTTTGCTTGAAGAATTATGTCATACAGAGCGAAATGTCAAAAATTTGGATAAAACTAGGAATCCTGCAGGATACGGACGGCCTGGGGCTGAAGCTTTCCCTCAGTCTCTCCGTTCTGGGGGCTTCCTGCAGGATACGGACGGCCTGGGGCTGAAGCTTTCCCTCAGTCTCTCCGTTCTGGGGGCTTCCTGCAGGATACGGACGGCCTGGGGCTGAAGCTTTCCCTCAGTCTCTCCGTTCTGGGGGCTTCCTGCAGGATACGGACGGCCTGGGGCTGAAGCTTTCCCTCAGTCTCTCCGTTCTGGGGGCTTCCTGCAGGATACGGACGGCCTGGGGCTGAAGCTTTCCCTCAGTCTCTCCGGTCTCAGCTTCCTGGGCTTCAGTTTGCGGCAGCATCCACCGGACCGCAGCAGTGAGAAGAGGCCGTTGTCGGGGTGGGATGGACCTTCCATTATTGTCAAAGCTCAGTCCCTGCAGTACTGCCTGTGAAGGAAGCACAGCGCTATCAATGGATTGATTAATGGGTGGGTTACATAAATCTGAGCTGCCCTTTCCCTCTGCCAACACCGCCTTCGTCTGCATTCCCCCCATGGCCTTCTCCATCTCCCGTGTATTTATCCGGATCTTTAACCGTACATACATCTTCCTCACATAAATCTGATTCCTTAATGCTTCCTCGCCCAGAACTGGGATGTATTCCAGATTCCTGGGTCCCTTTTTCATCCATTACCCAATGTTCTACCCAAGGCCAGGGTCAGAGGGGGTGGCCGGGGGGGGGGGGGTGGCCTGGCGACAGCACTGCCTACTGAGCTACTGTACAGCCTGCTACATTATCCAAACAATTTATAAGTACCACAATGCACTATATCCATTAGTCCATTTTATTCTAATAACTATTTCTTTGATTACAGTTTCAGAGATTTTGGAGCCTACAGCAGCAATCATATGGCTTAAGATGGACAATTTCAATGACGATGAGGGCTATTCAGAGTAGCTTCATTTCAGGGTTGTTGATTTGTATTTAATTATAATAAAATTCATTATTATTGATCCCCATGGGCAATTCTCCTTTGGCCTCCCCCAACTTGCTCTCTATAGGTGAGAGGCAGCTGCAACAAGCAGTAGGTGGTTAAGTGCCCTGCACAACGACCAACAGATGTGTTGGGGCTGCACTTGAACCGGTAATCTTCCAAGCAGAACTGCAGAAGCTTGGCCCACTGAGCCACACAGAAATCCGAATCCAACTTCATGTCGAATAATTTTATCATATTGATCAGATATTTTCTGGTGCATATTTCGATCACTTGATTATTTTTAATGAACAGTCTGAATAATTGGCTGCTATTTTTCTTTTCCCCAAATAATTTTCATACACTTTTCCCTGAAACTTTGTCCTTTGATTTAAAAAAAAAAAAAACACATTTGTATGCACTTCCACGAGTAATTTTAATGTGTTCATTTTTAATCGCCGCTAAACAGCTTACTTCCATAATTAATGTCCATCCTTCCATTTTCCAACCGCTTATCCTTCTGGGTAGTGGGGGGTCCCGAGCCTATCCGGAAGCTACAAGCACGAGGCGGGGAACAACCCAAGATGGGGGGCCAGCCCACCGCAGGGCACACTCACACACCATTATTAATGTCTGAAATTTTAAATTTTGATAGGCCCTAAATAAAATTACAGGCACTTAAGGTATGTTAACCTGCGACTACATATAAATAACCTTTATAATTAGAGAAAAGTGGCTCAGTTCATAATAATGCAGACTGCAGTTATGTTTCTTTCATATCTAAAATTCATTCAGGAAGCTTGTTAAGTAAATTGGCCGTATTAGGAGGCTGGTTTGGTCATGGATAACACAAGAATCTGGTGGCCCTTATCGCAGTAAAAAAGTTTTCTAGGGAGTGGCAAAGGTGTGGGAAATAGGGGGAATGGGGGGGAGGGGCATCCATCAATAATGCAGACTGCAGTTATGTTTCTTTCATATCTAAAATTCATTCAGGAAGCTTGTTAAGTAAATTGGCCGTATTAGGAGGCTGGTTTGGTCATGGATAACACAAGAATCATGGTGGCCCTTATCGCAGTAAAAAAGTTTTCTAGGGAGTGGCAAAGGTGTGGGAAATAGGGGGAACGGGGGGGAGGGGCATCCATCTCAATATCGGACATCCCCCCCCCCATACACACACACGCACACACACACACACACACACACACACACACACACACACACACAGTCCTTTCCAAAAAAAGACATAAATTATTAAAAGTGTGTTCCTTGTCTTTTATGAACCCGCGCATTACTGAGGTCAATTCGCATGCGGAGCGCTAGAACGAAACACACATACCTAACGAAGACTGTATTCCTGTATCAGGCGAAATCAGTTAATCATATGGATCAGTTTTTTTAGCTATGTTTAGTTGTGAAACTGCACCCCCCGCCCCAAATGTCAAACTCCTTCTGACCCCACTGGGAAGTGGGTTAAACCATTTGGGGACTGATAACATTTTGCAAAGCTTCCCACTGAGAATTTGAAAGGTCTTTCTCATGTTACTGAACGGGGTTTGTTTGTGTTTGCAGCTTGATATTTTCTGGTTTGCAGGCTATAGGAAACCATGAGTTAGAGGTTAAAACCGTGGGCGTTAAATGCTGTGTATGAGGGATTGCAAGCCTAAAGAATCATCTAAAGAACCTTTAGAAAAAAAAAGCTCGCTGTTCATATTACTTGCGTGGGTTGCTAAACCTAGAGGATTGCTTGTTTGTTTGTTTAAAAATATTTTCAAAATACTTTTCAGACATGCAGTTTGAAATATTAATGTTTCATGTAAAGGATGCCTATCAGTGTTTTTTTTTCATAAGCTCACACATTTCAATTCATAAAATGAACTGGGATCTGTAATGGCTAATGTTTTGTTGATTTGTTACTCCAAATTACATGTTCATACAAAAAACAAAATGTATAAATACCGTAATTAGAACGATATCCATGTTTTAAACAACTATAAACACATGTCAATAGTTTAAAATTTACCATTAAAACATGGTACATTACAAACCTACAAATACTTCATGTAAAAGGTTTGCTGGAAAAATAAGGTCATGTCTGTTATCACTGATTAGCAGTGATTGTCAATGTTTAAACAGGTGTCATGTTTTCCAGCAAATGAAAATCAAAATCACAGTATAATAAAAATATAAAATGATGAATGTAGGTATCATAATATTCATATCTATATAAAAAAATAAGAACTCTAAATAGGAACTTAATCTGAGTTGTGTGAATCCAATACAGAAATGGTGGGAAAGTGACTCTTAAGTAGTGTAATTCATCGGGGATACAGTGTTTAGAGCGCCGCATGAGAGGGGGACTGGGTTCATATGAGAGGGCGCTGCAGAGCTTCTGTCGCGGCTGCTATTGTTAGCCGTCTAACTTAACATCTGCTGTGATTTAAGTGGAATTAAATGACAAAGGCAAAATGCTTTCTCGCTTACTAAAAGAGCATCAAGCCAAGCAGAACGAACGGAAAGAATTGCAAGGTAAACTGTTTTTACATATATCGTTTTTCTATATGAGGCCTAATATTTGTTGAAAGCCCGCCGTTTTCGTGAATACGGATACCGAATCCACTCGCAGAGCCGCTGTATAAACGAAAAAACCCCGAGTCGTTTCCTCATCCTTCGGCCCGCCTTCTTACTCCCGTTTTGTGTGCTGATTGGTTAATGTGTTGTCAGCTCAATTTTTTAGTGGTTAGTAGGGCTGCTAGTCTTCAGTCAGTTTTGTTGCAGGAAGTTACAAGCGTAGTTCCATACGTATATTTATCTCTCTCTATATATGTATTTTCTTTCAACTTCGTTCTGTTTTTCTTGCGTTCATAACTGAGAAACGTAATTACTCATCAGAGCATGTAATACATGAAAACGTACGAACACAGAAAAACCGTTTTCAATGCAGTAGCTGGTTAGCTGCCTCGTTAGCGAGGTGTGAAAAAAAACTAAAAATACCAAGTGCTGTTGCTGTTAATTTTCCAGCAATATAATAATTTTAAAACACAAAACAGTGTAAAAGAAGCACATGGTATATGAGCACTTATTTGAACAATGCAGTCAAAATAAATTGTCGCTGCAGTTTTACAAATTTATAAACAATATTAGTTTAACTTTTTAAAAAAAATTATCCTACGTTGGCGTGAATGTAAAGATACTTGGAATTAAAAAGTCAACACTGTTCAGATTACTTATTATGGGCTCATAAATAATACAAGTTTTGTTGTTCGTGTTATCTGCATTGTGACCATTTGGCCTTGTAAAGCTGTGCTATAATACTGTCTCCTGAACCTACTGAGAAATGAAGATCAAAAGTTCATATACTTTTCAAAGCTAGTGAACCCGTGTTCAACTCATGAATAGGAGAATCAGTTCTTTGGTTGTTAACCGGAGATCTGGAGATCAACCTACCTTCTTCACAGCTTATGATCAAAGCTTGGTTCAGTTGGGTGCCAAAGGACACTCTATTATGAAGTTGTGAATTTTGAAAACGTAATTTAAGCTCACTACTGCTGCCCTCCACTACCCCTCGTTCCCAACACAGAGCGGCGCAGACGAGATGCAATAGCAGCTGCCACCTGTTTGACCGAGGCGTTGGTGGACCACCTAAATGTTGGGTAAGGTAGACACTACGCTGTGGTAGCCAGTCCCACATGGTTTGCTGCAGAGTCCTTTCTGTGTGTTTTTTTTTTTTTGACAAAAGCTTTATGGACTGTTGCATTTTTAACGTCTTCATCTGTGCCTCTTGGTGCCACATCAGACACATAGCAGTAGCAAATCCTGAAACAGCTGTCGTCTGTCAAAAACTTGTTTAGTGCAGTTAAACTACTACTGGAGTTTAAAAACAGCGTGGGGCTGGTGGACTATGTGATCTCCAAAAGGCTTTGTACATAAAAATACTGAACACATACTTGATAAATGTCAACAAAATATCATCTGCATAATTCTGGGAAGAGTGGCATAGCAGATGTAATTACTCACACTGTTTACACAAGGAGAATGCATAAGCCCCATTGAAATTGTGTAATGATGTAATACTACATAGACATGGTGGGGGTGGGTTTAATATGACTTGCTATAACGGGGTCCTTGTCTCATAGGTACTGTATGTGTTCAGTTTGAATATGTGACAGAATGTGACGTGCTGTCCCATTCCCGTGAGCTAGAATAAACACACTCAGCTGTAGGATGGAAGCAGCATCCCAGATGACCTCACTCTGAGGCTTGGACCTGCTTTCCATCTATATTTCAGATCTAGCTGATGGTCAAGCGTTGTAGCAGTAGGACTGCTGAAAACCTGCAGTTTTTGGCCACAACTGGATCTCTGAAGTGGTTCGCAGGCAGCTGGTGCCTGTGTCTCAGCAGTGTGTTGGGTCCCTTTAAATACGTGTTTGTCATCAGAACACATACATTTAACTGACGAATACTTATGTTAGCATTTTTATTATAAGGCTTTTCTCCCTAGATCACCGTTCTGGGCATTTGGACAGTGTGCGTACACATAATTCATTCGGGTGTATTAAAACAGGTAATCAACACAAGCACGATCAGTAACATTCATTTATGTAGCAGATGCTTCTGTCTAAATTGACACACAGGTGAGAATTGTAGATAAGGGTCAGATGGTGTTGTTGGAGAAATTGGGGTTAGAGGCTTTGAACAAGGGTTCAACCATCTCTGCCAGTTATGGGATTTGAACCAGTGACCTTCTAATCACAGTCCTCACCTTTAAAGCCAAGCACCAGCTACCGTGAACTTTTCTGTCCATCTGTCTTCCAGCCTCTCATCTAGGAGGTTATTGGGGCAGTGCTCAAGGACTTCACCATGTTGTCACATGGTCATGCCGTATGCTATATAAGAAATCATCTTAATGCAAGATCTTTACGTGATTCCACCAGCTCCTGTGTTGTGGGCCGTGTTTATGTAATACTTTTTAAAACAGAAACAGCTATTGCTTATTGATAAGAGTGAAAAGTTACACAGTATCTAAAAACAAGAACTGGATCTCCCTACCCAGACGTTAGGGGCTGCTGACAATTATCCATCCATCCACTCATCTTCAGTAACTGCCCACCCAGTTATGGTCCTCGTGTAATTAGATCACAAGTGGTCAAATTGCATCAAAATGCAAACATTCTTACCTGCACATTCTGGAAATACCTTGTCAGCCTATTAAAGGCAGCAAGATGCTTTTTCATAAATGACACTTTTGGTGACGTCTTTCTAAAAATACAGTTCAGCATGATTGTGTAAATGCCCTTGCTTCTCCGCCGCCCTTATTTCAAGATGACCTTACGGCCCCATTACTGGAAGCACTTTGTTGGCTATATTGATCAGCTAGCTGTATGTGGCCCGGCAGCGTGATTAATGATGAGGTCATGTGATTAATACTTAGTATTGATTATTTTAACGAGGAGCTCGCCCAAGATCCTGGTCAGCAGTCTGGCTGGGAGTGCTGTTCCTGCTTTAATGTCAGGGTTATTTTGATGCTCCTGTTCCAGATGTATTAATAGCTGAATCACATGGGCCTCGGACTCCCCAGTCTGTGAAAGCTGACATTCTGGCAGGCACATCTGACATAGCTTCTGTCAGTCACACTTTACGTTTGCGTGTTTGTGAGTGTGGTTCACCTTTTGGCTCCCTGAAACACTTTTACGGCTCCTCTGCCTTTGCAAACGTGTCCGCAGCTGTCGTCACTCGGCACATGTCCGCGTCTTTCCCGCCTCAGGGTGGCCCAGGCCTACGTCAACCAGCGGAAGCTAGACCATGAGGTGAAGACGCTGCAGGTGCAGGCCAGCCAGTTCGCTAAGCAGACGGCGCAGTGGATCAGCATGGTCGAGGGCTTCAACCAGGCCCTCAAGGTACGCAGCGCCCCCTACCGCCAGTCTACGTCTCTCCAAAGGGGCTGATTTTCCATAAGATTTGGTTTCCAGGTCTTTGGTTTTTAAGTAAGTGCTTAAACATTTTAATGTTTTCCCCCCTGTAACCAGTTGTCAGTTTGTTGAGGTGGGGATGGTAAATAATTATATAAATTAACATACAACCATCTGTCTTCCAAGCAGTTCCAAACTGGTGAGGGTCACAGGGATGGCCGGGAGCTTCGCCTAGCCATCTTAAGACAGTGGAAGTTATTGTTATTATTATTAATCATTTGTGAACAATAATAATGATCAATTAATTTTTAAAACCCCATAGCCAAGATAAAGCATTTAAGAAGCATGTGATTTCTTGCGGTATTTTCACCGTAGGTAATAAGCTATGACTAACACCAAGACTACTTGGATAAGCTTAAGCACCTGTGGCAGCAGCTTAGTCGGTTAACATGGGATTAGCTGCCCTGGCTGTTCCTGTTTTTTCTCTTTTCCGCAACGATCAGTTGACCGGAGCCGATGTGTAACAGGCGCTTCTTTGCTGGGCGTGTAGCTCATGCCGTTACGAAACGGCTCGAGATGAGCAGGCTGCTGGTCATATAGTGGTGAGTAGTTCCCAGGAACCTCATAGAAATGTGGCCACGCCCCGTTATATCAAACGGGGGCAGAGTGTCGGTGAAGCAGACTATCAGGTGCCACTGGGCCCCCACGGACCCTGACTCACAAGCCCCGCTTGGTCTTCTACACCTTGGGAGGCAGAGACCACCCACCCACCACTGCCCCCCCCCCCCCACCCCGGCCTGGGTTTGGATGGTTCCAGAGGAATTTCCTCACTCTGTTTCACTAGAACTGGAAACAAACCTAATATTCACCTTCAGAAGGAATAGAACACTCTATATGCCATAAACGTGCGGTATTTTTATAACAAATTTAAAATAGCTTTATGTGGCCTTTTATATCAAGCAAGTAATCTGGAAAATCCCTCAAATGATATATGTTTATGTTATTTATGTGTGTTACATGTATATGTCAGGTTACATTCCAGCTCTTCTCCTTCTTTAGATGTATTTTAAATGTGTATTTTCTGGTTTAATGCAGGCTGATTTAACTCAAAATGTAAAGAAGGCAAGTTGTTTGCTTAATGAGCTGCACATTAATTCTGTTCAGGGTCACAGTCAGGGTCAAATCTTACGGCTATCGATTTGAGTCCCAACAGGCCTGCAGTTGTTGTCTAGCACATTGCTGTTTAAATTGTGGTCCTCATGGTTTGAGGTGCTCATTTTCCTGCCTTCCTTTACCTGTGACCCAGGTGTGAAGCCTCTGGCCAATCAGAATCAGTAATTATTAAAGTAACTGCCTGGGAGAACTGAAAACAAGGCCTGGATTTGGAATTGATGGCAAGATTTTAAGAGCCCTGGTATAGACCAAGAACCTCAACCTGTGTTGCTGCAGTGAGATATATGGCCATGAATGTAAGCTGACAGGCTGAATTCTGCTGGTTGTTTTTTGTACTCGTTGGGATATTAAAAACCGGCATAGAGTCTGCCCTCCGGCGCCAGGTGACAGACCCGCACATTCTTCGGCGTAACCCCATCCTCGTCATCGCCTTTGTTGTCACCGTTTCCCGGCAGATGTGAGCCAGACCGGGCAGCACCTGTCACAGCTGCTTTTAAAACCGCCTTCGCTGTTGGATGGGGAGGGGGTGTCGAGACAGAGCGTGACTCTGAGTCATGGTGGCACACTAAAGGCTGAGGGATGGTTAGGCTGCCCGCTGGCCTGCTTGTCTCTGTCACTGACCATGAGCTCAGTTTGCATTGCTGTATCAGTTACTACATAGACAAATGAATCACCGGGGTCTCTGCACAGGGGATATTTCTATCATGTATTCTCAGCATTTACAGGCTTGTTTTTGTACAAAAATTATCCCATGGAAATTTAAGACTGTAAAGGACATCTTTGAACAGCACTTGTGCACCTTACTGGTCTACAATGTGGAAACGTCTCTTTATCGCCATCTAGTGTTGCATCCACAGGCACTCATTCATAGCTGTTAGACTGCATGGATACAATGCAACCTTGACTTTTTTTTGACAAACACAGGAAGTTCAGTAGCAGTTACGTTCACAAGTACCCTGCTTTAGATGTCAACTAGCATCTCTGTGTAGTGGTGTGCAAAATGAGGCACTGGAGGCCGCAGTGGATAGGATTGTCTTGCCTGGTTTAATCCTGTGGGAACTTATACAACAATCTGTGGAATGTAGGATGAACCAGTTAGCGATGGGAAGTTTCCTGTAATCCCACCAGACTTTTTATCCCAGTTCTACCAGTAAGCGAATTTAATTGTATTTGAATGTATGCCACACTGCAATGGATTGGAGCAGGGGTAGGCAGCCCTGATCCTGAAGTGCCGGTTTTCCATCCTACCGGGTCTCTGATGAACCACACCTGTTCTCAGGCAGATAGTAACTCATCAGGTACGATAGAAAACCTGCTGGATACTGGCACTCCAGGATCAGGGCTGCCTACCCCTGGATTAGAGTAATGGAGTAATGGAGGGTGCCTACCCTGAGAAGGGAAAATCCATTAGACTTTTTGGAGGTGCCTGGATGTGAAATTTGCTTCTCTACATCTGTGTTGTACAGGAGATTGGAGACGTGGAGAATTGGGCACGCAGCATCGAGATGGACATGCGCACCATCGCCACAGCATTAGAGTACGTGCACAAGGGACACCTACAGGCTGCCTCCTCTTAGCCCTGCCCACCTCTGCTGATAGGCTGACACACAGCAGGGGGAGTGGCCAGGGCCCTCTCCAGGATGTTGTGCCACTATGAACGCCTGTGCACTGGGACATGAATGGCTTTTTGGTTCTGTGGTAGGTTGTGATGTAGGAGGGCTGGCAAAAAGCTTATTCCTGTGTTGGAAAAACTGGCTGCCCCCATGCTATGATAAACCAGGCTTTAAGTCAGAATGGGGTTTTTCCACTGGATGATCTGGGGTGGAGTAGAATGAATGTATGGATTATGTAACGTCTTTGAAAATAAAAAGCATTAAAGTTTTTGTAAAAAAAAAAAAAGTTATATTTTTTCTAAAAATAGCAATATACAGATTTTTAAAATAGCAGAATATAGTTTTATTTTCTTAAAGTTCTCAAATTTCTCAAATTTTGTACATTAAACTTTCATATTCTCCCTGGGGGGTAATAATTATGCTATAGCACATTTCTTGGACATAGCTCCAAAAATATTAAAATGAAAATAATGTATATGTTACAAAAATAAGTAATGGAAGGGCCCATCTCAATAGACGTAGTGGTACAATCCCCACCTTTTAAAAAATAAATAATAAACATAATAAATAAATAAAACACTATACAAAACGTTCTTAGAACAAATTGCTGAAAGTTATTTATTGAATCTATCACTCACTTGGAACAACTTTAAACAATGTTCATCTAGTCAGACACAATTTGAAGATCATGAGTCACCATTTTTGGAAATTTCCGAAAACATTTTCATTCAACAAGGTACATTTTGTACCGTCAGCACCGTCAGTTTGTACCGGGGGTTGGGTGATGGATTACAACGGGCAATTGGAGCCTATTCAGGAAGCATAAAGCAGTGGACACCCAGTCTATTAATGTTTCAGAAATCATATGTATGTATTATTTACTTGCTTAACTTCTTGCAGCGATTCCGCGGAGGTAAACCGAGAATCATTAGCACTATAAAGCCCAATTAAAACCAACACTTCTTGACATTATCATGTTCCATGAATTTCTATCAAGTTACGATATATATTTTAAGGAGTAATTCAAATATCCATTCCATAACAGTTGGATTTATTTAATAACAGGTCAACTGCTAGCTCAAGCACCAGAATTTATTATCACGTGATGTAAGTTGCTATGGGTGCTCAATGCTGCGTACGGTTTACAAGTGTGTTTTGCAAACATGATGTAATACTTAATTACATAAAGGATCATTCGACCAGCAGCTACAAATGCCATGCCGTCGTGCTGGGGCTATAAAACTGTTCTGATATCGTTGCTCTCCTGGAAAATCCCTATCCGGGTTGTACGTAACCATGGAAAATAGACAGGACGTGAGATTTCGAGTTTTGGGTTTGCTCTAGTTTATTTTTATGTTTTTACCTGTAAGACAAAGAGCTTTTGGAAAATACGGAGGAGATTCTGGGTACTTTTTTGTATCGTGCTTTACTGCCTTCATAGGCCTGTAGTAACGAGACCTGATTCCCCTTCTGTCTTATGTCTAGCAGTGTTAGGTTCTGATCCACGTTGCCATTTTAACATTGAAGCCCACAATCGTAATCCAACTATCTTACTTGGTTTTGTCGAAAAACAAAGAAATATCACGATAAATGTTTATTGTGCATGTTTAATTTCATTAAAGTTAAAATTCCCTACTCACAGCTAATTAAAGTCTAACGTAGATTGCTGCCAACCATATACTTTATACTATGCATTGAAACTTTTAAAAGAAGGCTGTGCCTGTGAGTATTTTATAAGGCCATTTCAGGACCAGGTTGCCTGCAGGCACACTGAAGGATGAGGAGCAGTCGTGTCACGGCTGGATGGCTTTCTGTCTGTAGCTGTTCGCCTGTGCACTTTGATTATGCATGTCTGCATGGTACGTCTGGATTTACCCAAGACTAATGAACGCACAAAAAATACGACGTTCAGAAGGCAGCCATCCCACCTCTCCCGGAAGTTCCGGGAGTCTCCCGCAAATTGACAGCTGCTCCCTAGGCTGACACCCGCAAATGTTGCGCAATGTACCGGAAATCTGTCCTTCCCATTTTCAGCGGTGCTAAGAAGTTTTTACTGCTGCAACCTCGCCCCAAATTTTACCACCGCCCTCTAGCCCCGGTCAGCAAATCCCCCCCCGTCGATAATATGTATACGGTATTGCCGTAATATCTGGAAAACTGAAATGATTCTAAATTAACGAATACATACATTTCATTTTGGACTCTGTACGCGCCTCACCCCCTTGTTTTGGTTATCAAACTACCCTTTTACGCACGCAGGCGCAGACATTGCGGATTATAAATAACAGATTTGTCTTACATAGCTATAGGCGGTCAGACAGTGAGGCTGCCGAAACAAATCTAGAGTCGGGGGGATCCTGAAGAAAGGGAAGATCAAGGTGGATTTCATCTGAAACAGTGAACAAAAAGAAAAAGGTATGTTTTTAAATTAATTGTCAAGGTTTAGATGAGAGTGTGCTGTTTAGTTGCCATGAGCAGGACTATTGTTTTCAAATTCTCCTAGTTTTTATTTTTTTTTATTCAGTTTTTGTGTTTTCAATTTCAGTTTAGATGCATGTAGTTTTAGTTTTGTTTTTTTCGTTTAGATTTTATTTACCTTCAGTTTTAGTTTTCAGTCTTGCGGTGACAGGTCTAAGGTAGGTAGGACATATCAGTGTGACAAACATTCAGATACAGAGTTGCCAATTCACGCATGTGGCATCACCTTTCAGATTGACGCTCAAACGAGAAATATTACGACAAAACTGTATTATTCTATCATAAACCTAAAATTATCTGCATCAAAAGCCTTTGGGTAGTTTGCAAACCCTACAGATTATTTACAGGGTAATAAAGCTGTTAGTTACATTTAAATGCGTGTGCAGACGAGTAGTCTAATTGAAATTTTCACGCCAGCCAGCTGACCGAAGTTGGCAGCCCTGCAAACACCAGTTAGCAAGGCGGTATGTTTTTAACCTAGACAACAACATATTTTTTGATAAATAGTGGTATTCGAAGGCTTCATGTACAAAACAGTTGTTTAAAACGGGTGTATGTGTGTACGTGACAAAAGTACATATACAGAGAAGAGATGCGCATCTTCAGGAATCCCTGTTATTCTCAGTCCGGATGAGAGTAATCCACACACAGAGAAACTATCGTGTACTGTCACGACCTCTGTACGTCTCCCTTACTAAAACAAACAAAAAAAAAACAGCGACATGTAGTGCCGATCTTGTCTCATTCCTCAAAAACGGGAGAAATTAACCAGTAATGTTGCGCTGCTTTTATTTTCCCATAGTCGATTCGTCAGTTTATCTGGTTCCACATATATGTCTGCAAAGACCAACAAAAATTACTAGTTCCAAATCATTCACTTATATTTTCGTTTTTTGCTTTCATGATATGCATATGTGTATAGGTTAAATTGCTAACATGTTAAAGAAAATTTATATCCCTTTATCTATGCGATTTGTTACCGGAAACTGCTTAATAGCACAAAGAATGGCGAAGAATTTCAGAAGAATAGTTTCCGTTGGTTTTGGGGGAAACTGAAATTCGTTCAGGTCCATCCGAGAAACCATAATCAATCCCTAGCACTCATCGGAAGAGATGCTGATTACTTTACTACCTTACTAACTTTTTGGACATTTCCTTGATTACTGCAGGTTACTCACGTCTTCAGCAACGCGCCTTATTTATTCCATCTTATGGGCGATCGCTATAAAAATCCTGAGTACCGAGGAGCTGCTCAATGCTGCCCCCTCTCTTCTCGACTCGAACTCACGGCTGTTTCGCTATATTGATGACAGGCATTTCACAACTGACTTCACTTTCCAAAAAACAATCTTATGCTTCTTATTCACGTTTTAGAAGTTGCCAATGGGTACAAATAGAGCATACAATATAAAATAATGGTATCGTTACATTTGCAAGTATGTTAACATGCACTGCATAATCAATTTCTTTTAGAAGTCTAACCCTGTGATTGACTGTAAACATCCGTAAAAATTAGCAGAGGTCAGTCCCTGTGAAAATGGAGATAACTCTCTTATGTTACATTTAGGAGACACTTTTACCCAAAGCATCATGCAGACACCCCCCTCTCCCCATGACTACAGCAGTTGGTTAATCAATAGCCCAGTGTTGATAAGATTATTCTGTCCGCCATGAAATTGAACCTGCAACCTTCAGGCGATGGGAACAGTCCCCTTTCCTGCTGTGCTGTGCAAAATTGAGGTCAGTGGGGGCTGACGAATGTTTTCAGGTAATTAGAGGACAGTCTTTGTGTATCTGTATTGTTTGCAGGTATTGACAAGTACTGAAGCCTTAGAACTTGTTTGCCATTAATTTTCATTTGTGTTTTTCCTCTCAGGCTGCTTGTGTTTATTTTTTATTTTCATGTCTTGCGGGTATAGAACATGGCTGGGTGGATGTATTGCGAGTGTGTGAGGGGCAGAGCCCTGCACTCGATTGCATGCTTATAATCTTAGATGCTAGTATTAGGTTTTGGGCCCCAAGAAGCTTACGGCTTTAGAACTAAGGCTTTTGAATTTTCCTGGAAATAATGAGCCTCTGTATCCCTTCATCTTAGCCCCAGGGTCCTGTTGTGTTTCATAAGAGACTAATTCTAGCATATCTCATGGGCTTTCTTTAACATTTGTCACCATCGGACCACTGCTGCTGTCACCTTGCGTATTATGAGGACATTGATTAAGACATTGTATCTAGATGTCTAATTTTATTGGATATTAGAAAGAATGTTTTAAGTGATTAGGGAACACGAGTGGATTTTCCCAAGAGAATCAAAAGACAAAAGCAATATTGCAATTAACTTCTGCTCAGGAATATCTTCAGACAGTGGCATTCTCAGAATTGTTGTTGATGAATAACGAAGATTTGCCAGCAGCATCATGGCTCGAATTAAACCTGATTAAGAAAAGCATCATGAACCAAAATAAGAGCTGTGAATGTTATACAGTATTAAAAGGCAGAGTAGAAGCCAGGAGATGAAGGGAAGGGGCTGGGGGGGTAGGGCGGGGTTTTTACACAAGACAAAAGTAAATGGTCCAAGGGCAAGCAGAGAAACTCATGCTACCGCATGACAAAAGGTCATGGAAAATAACACAAAGACCCCAAAATGAGAGCAAAATGTGCCTCAAACCATTAAAGAAAACAATATTAAATGTCAGTAATATTGCCAGTAAGTAATGCTAGGCAGTGATGTTTTGTAATAGCAGTGTTCCTGCAGCAGACAAACTGCTGTCTGTTGAGAATCCTCACAGATAATCATTCGTATCTTGCAACAGTCTCCAATGTTTAAAACCTACTTATAATACCTGCTAACTAAAAAATTCAGTGGAAGTTTGGGTGTTTCTCTCGTTCATTCTAGGTCAGCTTGATATATCTATCTTATCCTGGTCACAGTTGGAGTCTATCCTAGACAGCAGCGCATCCTAGATTTACCCCAGTACAGCACGCTGAACACCCCCAATAAGCACTTTACGAAAGCAGTTCACGTAATCACATGTTTTCAGACTGTCTGTCCAAAGGAAACTCACCCAACACAGAGAGGACATGCATCCTTGCACACAGATAATGGATGCCATTCAAACTGCCAAAAATGGTGATGTGAAGTGACAGTGATACACGCAGAGCTTTCACTATGCTGCCCAGTGTCAAAGACGCACAGCATATTCACTGAACCGAGGGCTCCATCGTGTGGTCATGTCTGGTATTGTGGCCTCATCCTGGGTACACCACTATATAGAACAAAAGTACATATACAAAATTGTGGCTAATTGTCTTAGCAGAGCTCATGAAACGCATTTCGAATATGTAGCTGACCCATTTAATTAAAGTCTGAAGTACAATATTACATAAAAAAAACAAAAACTACTCCAGGGGCAGCGGGAAAAAATGGCTGACCTCATGCTCTGATCCGTATCTGTCTGTCTGTCTGTGTTATGGACCCATCCCAGGCAGACAGAGATACAGGGTTTATTCTGTCTTAGCCACACTGTATATATATGTTCACACATAATGAGTCGGGAAACAGCATACAGACAGCATGGAGGACGCCTGGACGTTTGGGCTGGCAGCTGTCCTGGTCGCCTGGGTGCTGCTCTGGCTGTGGAGGGACCGCCTGCTGATCTCGGACGTGGAGCAGAGGCACGTCTTCGTCACGGGCTGCGACTCGGGCTTCGGGAACCTGCTGTGCAAGAGGCTGGAGCGCCGTGGTTTCCGCGTGCTGGCCGGCTGCCTGACGGAGGCGGGGGCCAGCGAGCTACGCCACGCCACCGGGCCCAACCTCAGGACCTGCCTGCTGGACGTGACGGACAGCGAGTCGGTGCGGCGCGCGGCGGAGTGGGCCAAGGAGGAGGTCGGGGACAAAGGTGAGAGGGCAGCACAGTTATGACTAATGGGGCCGATTAATCCGGGCAGAATGACTCGGACCAGTTCCCTGCTCATGGCTCCTACAGCAGGGGTCCTACTAGGACTTGAACCACTAACATTTTACTCAATGTCCTTCACTTCTGTCTCTGGCAGTACATTTATATCAACAAGAGATAAGAACAAAATAATACAAGATAGCATGAAATACTATAAATGCCTGATTGCTACTGTGGATATTTAAAATGATATAACATAGGATTTTATCTACTGATGACTAAATAAATCTAAGGACCAAACTTCCACTACACCACTAGGAACGTACCCCATCTCCAGAATTTGTGAAGAAATGCTTTCTGTATATACTGTGTATTATAGTGTATTTTATAACCATCCACCTCAGCTAGGGGCTGGTTAATGCATAGGCAATACTAGGCTATGGTCTAGGGTCCCTGCAAAATCAGTACCCCATCTTGGGGAAAAAAATGAATGATTAAACTTATTAAATCTGGCAGATCAACCCAGTAGACAAGATAATCTGCCCCAGCCCCCCTTTGATTTCTTCCTCGCTGTGATTGCCTACAAACGATATCCCATAGTTTGTAATGCAGAAATACCCTGATTGACCCCACAAGCTTCTGGTGAGTGGGACTCAACCGCAGGCTTGGTCTCGCAGGGCTGTGGGGCCTGGTTAACAACGCGGGCCGCTCCGTTCCCATGGGCCCCACAGAGTGGATGCAGGTGGAGGACTTCCAAAGCACACTGCGAGTCAACATGATGGGTGTCATCGAGGTGACGCTGGCCTTTCTGCCGCTGGTGAAGCGTGCCCGCGGCCGCCTGGTCAACGTGGCCTCCGTTCTGGGCAGGGTAGGGGCCAATGGCGGCGGATACTGCATGTCCAAGTTCGGGGTGGAGTGCTTCTCCGATTGCCTCAGGTTATTTACATCCCCATTCAAGACATTATTCATCATAAAGTCTGTGTTTGTTTGTCTGTTTCTTACCTGTTTCTGTGTTTGTTTGTTTTCCTGAGGGTGGCTTCCAGGCTAAATTTCCCCAGAAAACCTGACCTTGCAGATACATCCTCATAAGGGCAATTTCTTATTTTGAAACAACACAAAGATTTAATTTGCAGTCACCTCTTACATGTTTTCACTTGCATGCTCTTAGGCTCAGTTAAAGTGAATTTCAGTGTCTGTTATGGTCCAGTCCGGTTTAAGAGTGACAGGTTAACAAGCTTGGCTGCACATGTGTGTCTGATATTCATACTTAAAATTAAAAGGAGATGAATTTCAACTTTTACTGTGTTGACCTTTTGTGTTCATCTGTTGAACAGTAATGTTATATTATTGATATAGCCACAAGGCAGGCTTCGGACTGTTTTCTTGAAGATGTTTATGCTTGAAAGAGATCTTCAGTTTGAATTACCTACTAATATAGATGAAATTAAATACCAGTGGTAGATAGGTCAGTTTGGAAACTCCAGATCTTCCTTTTCGCAGGCGGGACATTCACTACTTTGGTGTCAAGGTGTGTATCATTGAGCCGGGGTTCTTCAAGACGGCCATAACCAGCCTGGAGCCTCTGGAACGGGAACTGCACCGCCTGTGGGGCCAGCTGAGCGCCGAGGTGCGCGAGAGCTACGGGGATAAGTACTTCGACGATTGTGAGTCTGCTTCAGGGTCCGTTTCCCTTCGACGGAGCTTCTCCCTCAAACTCAGGATGGAGAATTAGTTTGATAGCAGTTGCATTTGCTGAATTAATTGCAGCTTTTTGTTTTATTTAAAGATACTTTTTAGTCTGTTCATCCATCATCCATGACTACTTTTCCAGAGCAGGGTCATGTTTTGGCTGATTCCTGTCCCTGAAAGCACAGGCCATGAGGCAGGGGACATATTAGGAAGGATACAGGACTTTCTATCAGTCCATATTAGCTAGTGTAATTTTCTCTGCTGTGATAAGCTGTGATAAGCATCTTCATCCATTGGCTAATCCCACACAATGTGTCAAGAAGTGCTGCTGGGTCTCCTTTCTCTTTGCAGCCCTCTCTGGGTGCACACTCATTCCCACTTACTGCGATTGGGCAGTATTCTGAGTGACAGGCTACCTAACCAATGACCAGGCCAAGTACAACCAAGCGTACGATAATCAGCAGTTCTACTCATTTTAGGTATAAATACTTGCTTTTGTACTGCCAGTGCAGGCTGCAATGCGTTTTCATGTAGCATGGTGGCAGTATATCCTACTTCAAGTCAATAAAATATATTTATCTGTCTATACCAGTTACAGTGTACTGTCTGTATAATCATAGTTAACACATTCTTACATACAGTCACACACTGTGAGTAGTTCTAGAGACAGAAATTCACATAACCATATGTCTTTGGATTACAGGAAGTAAACTCATCAGACCCTGTGGATAACCTGTGAATTCCATATACAGAATGACTCGGTCTGTGGGCAAGAATCAGGTCCACAACCCTGGGGGGGGGGTGAGGCTATAATGTTCATCACCATGCTACCCACCTATGCCACTATGCTTCCAGGAGTACTTAAGGTTAAGTGCCTTTCTCACGCTACAGGAGCGGCACCTCTTGAGGTTCGAACTAATGACCTAAAGTCATGGTATTGTAACCTGAAGGTTGCTGGGTCCAGTCCCAGGAGGATCCCTTGCTGTAGTTCCCTTAAGCAAAGCACTTCGCCTGAATTCATCCACTAAAAATATCCAGCTGCATAAATGGGCATGTAGCCATTTTGGATAAAAAAATGTTAAAAATAACAAAATAATGATATTTTTTGAAAAATGCAAAACTGTAATGCAGCGGAACCTGTTTTATTTCATTCTACAGTATCTGCGATCATCAAGTTCACAGTGACCCCATACTGTAAGTGGTCTTAGCCTATAATTCCAGGCTAACACACTTGTGTAGTTCAGCTACAGTACATAGGGCCACCAGCTTTAGGTAGTTACCGCCAGCTGGGGTTTAGTCCCAGAGGCAGAGCTGGGTCGGGATCCCCCGGGGTGACCCAGCCTACCTGCCTGCCTGCTCCATGTTCAGGGGCACTTTAATGCACAGGCTTACCTGAGCTGAAACCAAGGGGCTTCTGCTGAAAAGGGTGTGTGTGTGTGTGTGTGTGTCTGCGTGTTCTCCTTGTCTTGAACTGGTTTTTGCTGAATGCTCCTGTCTCTCCTCCCGTAGCCCAAATGGATGCATTAGGCTAATCGGTGTCTCTAAATTGCCCACAGCTTGTAACTGTGCGTGTGCCCTATTATGACTGGAATCCCACCCAGGGTGTCCCTTTGCCTCATGCCCTGTGCTCTCCGGGATAAAGCTCCAGGCCACCCCCTGACCAGGATAAGCGATGAGAAGATGGATAGATGTACTCTTCTCTAACCATACTTTCTGCTTTTCCCACATCTTGCCACCTGGCCCTGAAACGAACACACCTCTAGACATCAAGCTCCAGCGGCTGATCATGAACAATTTGTGTGACCCGGACCTGAGCAAGGTGACGAACTGCATGGAACATGCCCTGATGGCACGCTACCCCCGCACCCGCTACAGCGCCGGCTGGGACGCCAAGCTGGTCTGGATCCCGCTGTCCTACACCCCCACCTTTGTCCTTGACTCCGTGCTCAAAATGATGATGCCCCGTCCCGCTCACAGTGTTTAAGGACGCAAATTAAATCTGGGCACACACCAAGCTGACAGCAAAAAAAGAAATGGCGCCGGCCAAAACAGACATAGGATCGGCTCCTTTCAATTGTGGAAATTTTCACTGGAACACACTATCATGACTAAGGGTGACGGCTGACATACAGCCCAATCAGAGAGCTCAGTTTCACCACCTAGCTTTGCCTTTCAACGTGCTGAATCAGCCAAAACGGCGCCAACGCATTCAACTACGCGACACACTCCGCCGCAACAGGGAGTCACTGACTCTCACTGAAAGCTCACCAGCTTTCGAGGGCCAAAAATCGGCTTGGTGTGTTCCATGATTAACCAGAGACATATAGCGATTGTGAAACTGCATTGAATACAGTTCTGTAACATTACAAAGACCCATGAGTAAAATCCACATTATTATTACTGTTGCATATTTCTGAATTGCAATGGTGTCATATAGATGTCAAAATGCTTCACTGTGCCATCTGTGTAGTGAAAAAATATTCTTTCCAGCCCTGCTCTCCATTGAGCACATGCACACACACACACGGACATAAACAGCCAAAGCCATTTGTGGGTACGTTCTATGCCTTTAAAACCCAAGCCTTGTTTCCAATGAAACTCATCGTTTGTTGAGTACAAATCCATTAATACCAGGCCTTGCTTGTAAGAACATATCGGAACCCCTCCTCAAATTCTAGAAATGTCACATTTCCATTATAATATCATTGTTTGATCATAATCAGTGTTTACTTTCTTAAAATAAAGTTTTGTGTGTCCATCCATTCTGTGTTTAGAGGAGTTAAAGCAAATGGGTATTCTACAAGGTCTTGTATCTCAGACACTGAAGTAATAAAAAACGATGTTTGCAAATCAGAAGTTAACCACTAATAGCGCTAATCAGCATGGGAATGGAAAAAAAGTTAGTTTGCTTTTACTTGTGCATAGTGGTGCCATACACTGGGTCATGAGTTAAAGAAATCTCAGAGGACTTGAGAGAGAGTGGACAGAAGGACTCGCCTTGTGGACAGTGGTGTCTTAATGGTTAGGGATGTGCACTTGTAATTGAATGATTGCTGGTTCAAATCCCCAACCAGCAAGGCACCCCTGGGGTACCCTGAGCAAGGTACCACCCCCAAGCACTGCTCCCCGGGTGCTGAATTAGCTGCCCCCTGCTATGTAACATATGGGTTAAATGGACACATTTTGTTGTTGTGTATCATCACTAAATTCTAATCTGCTTGGCATTTTCCGATTCCTCTGTCCACCTAAAGACCAGTACCTTACAAATTTTGAAAATCTATGACTAATATCAGTAAGAAAAATACTACAGGGTAAAGCCGTCTAAAGGAACCACAGGACTACATCTGAGAGCCTCCAGACCTACCTTGGTGCTTCTGGTATCCATGTTGTTGCCTTACTACCACACAAGCTGTGTGGAGATTGCATTCATGGGAGGTTAGCCAGCACAAAAGATTTGCTCGCAAAAATCTAAATTACTCCTCCATTCCCTTGAAGGATATTTTTTGCAGAAATACTCTCTGAATAGGTGAAAATTTAGTTTCTTTTTGGCCAAAAGAAACAATGTACAATCTTATCCCAAATATCAGGGGTAAGAGCATTTTGATTCGAGGCTGATCTTCAGCCTGTCAACCTGGAAGACTCACCAATGCTGAAAGAGCCGTGACCAACATACTGATAGGCGGAGCAGGAGGCCCTCATGGGAACAGCAGCATGCTGATAATTCTAAACATTCCAGAAGGTCCAACAAAAAAATGAAGAGTACGAAATTCAGTGTTTTTTGATAATGAGTTGAAAATTCAGACCATCCAACAGAAAGGTTTGATAAATTTATATGAAGCATAATCCAGATATAGGGTTTGCAAGCAGTTGTGCTTAAGAGTTCCTGTAGCTCCCTCAGTAGAGTATTATGCCGATAATGTACAGTAACACAACCTAATAAGAGTGATAACTTTGAATCCCAGTGGGCATATATATATATACAGTATATATCCTCCTAACTCTGTTGCTTTGGGTAGAAGTATCAGATCAGTTTTTTATTGCTAAAATTACATTACTGCATGTGATTCTTCTATGTATAACAAGTATCTGTATAGTATGTATACTGTGACACGATGGTCCATGTGGAATCTGCACCAGCAGGGGGTGACCAGTGCCACGTGGGTCTATGCTAACATTGATTTCTTCACATTTGACCACTACAATGAGCAACTGGTTGCAGCTGGCGGCCATTAATTGCCCCAACAAGGAGGCAGGACTGTTTTCCCCACCATTGGGGAGAAGTGGAGGAGGAAAAAAAAGGGTAAACCAACTATTGGGGTCCTTTGTGCCCCGGTGAACAGTCTGCATGAAGGAGAACTGCCCCGGAGGAATTGCTGCCCGCTGAAACTTTCTGAGAAGCTTCTTGCCTTGGATTTCGTGCTGCACTCGTTTTGTGTCATCTCCTATGTTTGGTTAGTGAATGCATTAGGGGGGTGATTGAATGTCTCTGTGCTTTTATATAGGTGAGTTAGTCATCATTGCTTGTCACTTAGGTTTGGCACTAGGTCACACTGAAGTCACAAATACAAGAAGTAGTGTGTGTTTGTGCTTGTGCTTAATCGTTTAACTGCACTTTTTGTGACCTGCTATCCAAGACATACATAGGTTGTTATATGTTATACAAGCAAATAGGCTAATTTGCTTTGTCTCAATCTCAGTATTTGGTAAAATTTGTAAATCACGACAGGTGTGACGTGTACCCACTCCTTCTGAATGGGCTGAGTTACATCACTGAAGGACTCTGCAGAAAGGGTTGATTGAAGGGTAAATTGGATCAACCAGTATTTGATGAGTGACCTGTAATAAGTCCTGTATGTGAAATACTGTCAGTTTCCTTATATTGTAATGTGCAGCACATAGAACATAAATCAATAAACATTAAAAGACCAGACACCAAAAAGTGATACAGCAATAGCTGTCACAAGAGTTTTAAAATATATAATCCATACATGTTGACACATAAGCCAGAGAGAGAAAAATAGCACATCTTAATAGACTTAGGCTACTTAGAAAAAAATTAATAGTCAAACTATTATCTGCGTCTACTGTTGTTCTAAGCTTAAACAGGGCATGACAAGTAGACCTATATAATTGTTCACTTCCAAGTAAACCGGAAGTACGGTTTGTGAAATGGTCTGCTTTTGCTCTCCTTCATAAGTTACTTTTTTAACGCGGTAGTTAATGAGCATCAAATACAATTCCCGAAAGCATACATGAACCATTTATATATTTGGCAAATTCATGCGAACGTCAACGGAACTTCGCAGAAGTACTTTGATCATGTGTGATATTTTAGGCAAACAACCTATGGCTGAAATTTCAGCAAATACTTGTCAATGAATGATCTATGTTAGCTTGGTTTGTTTTTCTCATTGGTTGCTTTATTAGCTTGCTGCCACTTCCACGTGAGCGCAGCACTTAGCGACCTCTGCCGCGTGCTTGGGACAGTCGCGCAGTCCTGGCAGTACGGAGCCGCGGCAGGACGCAGCTGGAATTAAGATACTTAAACTGTGTTTTCGCGATTGCATTTGGATTTATCCAGGCAGCTGAACCATACTGTACATTTATTTTAAGTTTATTTATTAGTAGCTGCTTATTCTGAACCAAAAAAATATGTATTCTTTGAAATCCATTCGTGTTACTAACTTGGGGGTTTTAGAGTTGCTGGTAAAAGATGCGTCAAGAAAAGTTTTGCATCGGTTTGAAAACAGAATTTTAGGGAGCCGATTGTATTGTTCGGCACCTCAGAATAATTTAACTAAGGAACAAGTTGGTTTGGACCGGGACCAGACGCATTGCCACGAGTAAGTGTTTTCTGGAAACTTCTAAGTTGTTTGTGTTAAATAATCCATATAGCGGCAAGTTAATTCCAAACCCCAGAGGGAAATCAATAATACATTTGCTCAACTTATCATGACAGAGACACATGAATTGCGATAAACTTAGATTATGGATTTAAGCATATAGGATATGGCATGAAAATCCAATAAACTATATTTCAGCGAAATTTCACATAAATGCCATATAGTTTGATATTGAAAGAAGTTCGTATGGAAGGGATCAAACGTTTTTATATTAATCTTTCTCTAGCAGTTTTCTGAGTAAGGAGCCATATATATTCTGACATCTTGTGCAATTTTCCACTTAAAAATTCTTCTTCTATTGCAATTTGCAAATCAAACAAACTTTAAATGGAGCTTTGAAGGCACGCGCTGATTAACAACTCGATACGATGAATAATTTTGCATATTTTAGCAAACGATCTTTGATGAACGCTTTAAAGTTTTCAGCTTTTCGATAAATCACAAACGATACTATCTTTAAAGGCTTTATGTCGGAATATCAATGCGCTTATCATCTACTTCTGTTGCTGAGTGGTGTATTTTTGATTTCCTTAAATTGTATTCCCCAAAGCGAACCTTTTCCGCCATGTGTCTAGGTTTAAACAGGAACCTGCGGTGTATCCACTGTAACTGTGAAACACTGTTGTTTTTGTGATCCGTGATCAGCGTGTCTCATGGGAAGTTTGTGCCATATTGTACTTTATTTATGTCACCTGGCAGGAGTGTAGCCAGATCGGGTCTCAGCCGCAAATTGGATGACATGCTGTTCTACACAATCAGCGAGGGAGAGGAGAGGATGCCAATTTCCCGCTTCATCTCTGTGAGTTTGGACGAAAACTGATGCATTCTTTTCACATACAGACAAAATGGTATGTTAATATCAAGGGCCTAATAAAGAGTTGGGCAACCCATTTCCAGCTTCATTCCTTCTTGGAATGCTGTCGTACAGGTTCTGAAGAGTGCGTAAGGGAATATTGGACCTTTCTTCAGAAAGTGATGCCGTCCATTCATTGAGGGACGAGGGAAGACTGAAATCTATTCTGTGCTTCCATGAAGGTTAAACAGTGTTTAGATCTGGTGATTGGGGAGGCCGTGGAAGGTGTTTGCCATTATCCAAATGCTCTGGAAATTATTGTAGAATTTATTTAGCAGTATGTGGATGCCTTATCATTTTGGAATAGGGGAACATTATGAGAGAACAGGGTATGCTGATAGATATAGGGATATAGTTATGGAGGAGTTCAGTAGGATGTTTAGTGTCCAAAATGGAAACGGCATAATTCTGTTGTGTTGTATGCATATTAACAATATTGTATAGACTATTAGAAAAATGAAACAAAATTAAGAGGTCATGTGTCATTCGTTTAGTCAAAGATTAGAAGAAATGAGTGGAATATATGTTACCATGACCTTTCTGGATAAACACATGAACAGTAAGGTGTCATAGCCATAATGTCATATGTCATAGCCGTAATGATTTTGAAATTTAGGTCTATGTGTTGTAACAGCCTTTGCTCTTCAGATGCCCCGCCTGTTTTATTGTTGCTCCTCCCATGCCTCCCCCCTGAAAATAATCTGAACCCACCCCTGCCTTTCGCACAAGTGTTTTCCAAATGACAGCCCTGTCAGAGATCCCTGCTCTGAGTAGCTCATTGCATGTGCTTTTTGTGGAGACAGGGTCACAGACATGGTGATTTGGTTCTCAGGTCATTTTTGAGATCATGGCTATCATTTTGAGTGTCTGTCTATCCTGATGGTGAGCTTTGACATTTTCACCATTATTCCTCTCCACTAACACAGTTTGTCCATGCTCGGTGTATACTGTCATGATTTTTGAGACACATTAGATAATTTTGCTCTCTTGGCATTAGTAATTCAGGCCCTGACTCTGTGGCTTCCATGTAACCTCATATTGCTTATAAAACTCAGATAACAAAGTGTGAGTTATCAGACCTCATTTACAGCTCACACCTACTTGTGTGTCTCACCAGTGTAGCAGCATTTTCAGCTATAATCCAGCTACATCAGAGTACTTTTTCATGTGGCCTTTCTGTTATTTTCTCCACCCCTTGTACATGCTCATGTGCCGACCAAAATGATGGACGCAATTTTAGTTTCCCAGCGTGTTAATTCGCCAGCCTTGCCGTATCACGATGCAAGGCCCTCTCGAGCCGTTCAGTCCCAACATTGTCAGCAGTGTTAATCACCCGTGCCTTATTAAGCACGTGAAACACAAAACGGCCTGACCATGTGACCTTCAGCCTCTTGGGAAGATTGGGTTCAGTGGTTGTGAAACTGTCCATGTCCACTGACAGCTTTTATTGGGGCATATCAAAGAACCATGTACATAAAAGTCCATCGCCATCCATCGCCGACCTTTCGCAGCGTGTGTTGGCCGGCTGGTGGGAGAAGGCTTCACCGGCCACCTCGGTGCCCCCCACCCTATCAATTTGCCAGCCGGCCTCAGTTCTATTAAAAGACACCACGTGCCATGACATCTGTTTAGGTGGTGGCCCCGCCCTGCACGGTATCTCCGTGTGCCTCCGTGTGCCTGGGCCTCTTGATTCATGGTTGTTACTGAGGTATGGGGACGGCAGATTTTTGGCTGCGGGCAACAACGTTTTTAATGGTCTGTCTATTATTAAATTACAGAGAATGAAATTGAACCATTTGCAGTTTAAGGCATACAAAAACAGAAATAACTATTTAAACGTGATCATAAATACATGGCATGTCGAATATAGATGAGCTGGAGATTGTAATAGAGTTTATCCGAAACGGTGGTACGTCACATGTCCACCATCGTGTGCCCAATTCCACACGGCTGGCCTGTTGTTTTGCTCCAGCTCATCACTGTGAGCTGTCACAGGTTTGAGGCATTTTTCAAATTATAGTCAAGATTTGGGATGGTCTGTAGTGGGAGTGGCCATCTTGGTTGCCCTATAGAGGGAGGGTCGGCCCCTCCCTAGGGCTACCGGAACGGTTTTTCTTAAAGAGACACCATCCTTTGCCCTTTTTCTAAACCCTTTCCCAAGACCTTTTGGAGAAGTATGTTTGATAGAGTTTTTTCATTTACTGGTTGCATATATTGAGACTGTTTCCCTGAAAATAAAATCCCAGAGCATATTAACAATATTTGTAAAACTTAAACATTTGATTACAGAAATGTCCTGTAATCATCCATGAAATCTTACGTATGATCAGTGAGATCAGTGATATCTTCTGGATATATTCATACCACGTGGGCTTTAAGCTTGTGATCAGCATTTCATTCTTGGCACTCATAAGGTTTGTATGCAATGCGCACAATTTGAGTAACTTGTCTTGGATTTTTATTGGGTAGTGTATCTTATTCTGGCATGAGTATGAGACTTCAGAAGAGTAGGTATAGGACAAAATAGGGTGGAGCAGTAACATAAATACAGAAATATAGGAATGAACAGCAGTAAACATCAAATCTGACAATGCTGGTACTCAAGCTTTGCTTGTACATTTGGTAAACTATCTGTTTTTAGACCCAAGAGGATATGTTCATGTACATGAAACAGACAAAGTAGCAGACCAAGCTGGTAGTGGAGGAGCGTACCTTCTTCATCGCTTCTGACCTCATCGTTTTTTAGGCACTGAAGAGCCACGGCCTGCTGACCTCCGACCCCCGTCTGCGGGACTGCATGAAGAACCTCCGGAATGCCGTGCAGGAGTCCATCGGTGATGTCATGATGGACCGGAAGCTCTTCCAGAAGTGAGAACCGTTCTTAAGAGATTGCATGTCGTTCCCAGGTTCTCAGAGGGAAGGAGGGGCTATTTCTAGCACGACATTTAGGAAGCCCTCCCCGAGTAAAGGGTCAGAGTCGAGCCCTGTTTTAGCGGGTTCGGAGCGTGGAGACGGAGCCGGTGGTCCGAAGGTGCCTGACAGCGGAAGGCTCTGGGTGGATTGATAGCCGACAGCTGGTGTGGTTTTGACGGGAACCCACATGAGGCCTGAGTGGACTGAAGAGAAAGCTGTTGGCCCAAACAGCACTGCAGCTGTACCACACTACTGTGGTTCTGTATCTGTTATTTCAGGCAATAATTCAGAAAACCACATATTTTTGGACTGTGGGAGTAAACTGGAGGAAGTACGGAGAGAACATGCACACACTGAATCATGGTCAGTAATCAAACCCCTTAACCCTGGCAGTGGAAGGCTGTTGTGCTGCTTTGAGAAAGTAGGAAATTGACCATACACTGTCAGTCACTGCCTGCTGTAACCAATAATGGAACCAGCAGGAACTGGGTTAAACCGTGATTGGCAGAGGACAGAAATCTCACCCACTCTGGCCTCCTTTGTAAATGTCACCCTGGAGAGCAGCCTAGATCTTTTCTGATGACAGTTTTTAATAATATGTACCCAACACTGGCCAGGGCAGCAGCATGATATTTCATCAGCGAGTCACGCGACTCCCTCCAGGTCAAGTCATGCCATCCTTATACCAGCACAGGGGACAAGAAATTCCCCCAGGAGCACGGTGTGAACTGCAGACAGCAAATGACAAGGGGGGGGACCTAAGCCTGTATATACATCAAGCCAAGTCACACTTCATTGTCATTTCAAAGTATGTAGACATATAAAACAAAATAGTGTTTGTCTGAGACTTTAAAAACGGATTTACACATATGGAAACTCGAAACACACAAGACAATAATGAATAAATAAACAGATATGCTATACATGTACTAACAGTGCAGCTTTTGACTCAAGCTGTGCAGTCAGTTTGAGCTGTATACAACAGTGGATAAAAAAAAAACAGTAGTGCCCGATTATGTAAACAATGGTAATAATGGTAAATTATTGAAGCAGCATGGAACAGTAGAATTAAAAACAACAGTGTCAGCAGAGTGACAACAAATAAACAGAGAGTTAAGTGATTTGTGCCAGCTGACTGTCCACAGGTGTCATCATGCTGGCAGTGAACAAAAGTAGAGGATGTAAGGAGATATGGGTCCATGGAACATCTAGTCATATTTAAATGGCATGTTTACAATGTGAGAAGGTCTCAGCAAGGACTGTGTCATCCCGAATGGACACTCTGGAATCAGTGGTTCACGGGTGGTCACTGCCAGATAGCTCGGAGAATTTTGATGCAGCAGCGGCCATCCAAACCGGTGCATACTAGTTGGAACGAGGTTGAAACTGCCATTAGCGGGGCCACATGTTGTCAGTAGCATTGCACCCAGTGAGATGTTGGATGGGTAGAACTTGCAACCAGGTGTATTGAGTGGTTTTATTGTTTAAGCTTGTTTTGCTGAAGCTGCACTTTTTTGTATGGCCACTACTTAATCAATATGCTACTTCTAATGTATAGCCCATGTCACATACTGTGTAGCTGTGAAGCAGGTGGCAGGTGTCTGGCCAGGAGTATTGTGTTGATTATGCCCACCTGTTCCTCATGTCGTTGGCACTATAGATGTTTGATGTTTTTTTCATCCCTTGTCCTCAGTGTGCCCGCCTAGATTCTGGCACTCGTTCTCTTCAGCGTGACTGAGATTGTTGTCCTTGACGCCCACCTCTGCATCTGCTTTTGGTTTCTTTTTTTTTTTTGTTTCATACCAAAATATCTTATTTTGTTTTCCACGCTTTCACGTTAATCCCCATTCCGACCCAATACTGTAACCCTGGGGACCCCAGGTAAACTTCCCATCTCGCGACTCTGTCCTTTTCCGACCTATCGTCACATCACAAGGATCCGTTCGCCTCCCTGCCCCGAGCGATTCCTATAGCTGCATGCCGTATAAATAACGTGTAAATTATGTATAAATAACGGTGCCTTTGCCCCAGGTGTGTTGGTGGAAATATTGTCCTCCTGACTCAAGCCTTCCGGAAGAAATTCATCATCCCTGATTTTGAGGCCTTTGTTTCCAACATCAATAAAATCTACCACAAAGTCCAGAGGCAGGAGGAAGGGCAGGTGGGTATTTCTGCGAGCTCCACCTCACGCCTGCCCGTTGCCGTGATGTTTCCGTCCTTGGTCCCTTTGACAGTTTCATCCCATGTGATACTTTGTATGCAGGTAGCGGACTACATCCCCCACCTGGCCAAGTTTAGCCCTGACCTCTGGGGTGTGTCCCTGTGCACAGTGGACGGGCAGAGGTGAGTCATCTGCTGCCCATTTCTCCCTTTATCTTGCCATTGATTGGTTCTATCGTTTTGGTTTATATTTTAGCTGCTTTGCCACTATTTACTGGTTTCCTCACAGTTTGTCTTTCGAGGTTCTCTTCTGTAGGGGACAACAACAGGTCCGGAACTTTAACCACCATGACACCTGTTGCACTGTGTGTTTTGTTGATATTTCCATGTTCATAGATAGTTCTTAACTACAGCAGTCAGTCATGTTAATTTTCTAAATTATCCCCCCACCGCCCACAATGGCATGGCAGGCACTCGGTGGGTGACACCAGGACCCCGTTCTGCCTGCAGTCGTGCGTGAAGCCTCTGGAGTATGCCATTGTCGTGCACGAGGCCGGCACGGAGCAGGTGCACCACTACGTGGGCAAGGAACCCAGTGGTCTTAAGTTCAATAAGCTGTCCCTAGACGAGGAAGGTGAGCGATGCCGTCGCCGTATATCCCAGAATTCTCAGCACTGGTGTCTCGTTAGTAGCTTGGCGAACCCTTCAAGTGCTTGATGGGAAGGTCAACAATAATGGTGTTTGTTCACGTGACTAAAGCTCAACTAAACTGATGAGAGACACGGGTGATGCACATTTCCTGAAACCAAGACTGTTTACTACACTATCTGGTTAATTCTTGCATCTGCCCATAAATGATTGACTACTCCAGTAACACTGCTGCCACTGCCATTTGCAGCTGTCCCACTTATTTGATCTTGTTGCCTGCTGACCCACTTCTCGTGTTTGGTTTGGTATCTTATTGATTTCTTTTTCCCACGTCGAGCTTGGTCCCCTGTCTGTTTTGATAAGCTGTTGCCAATCCCACAGAGAAACCCCACAACCCCATGGTCAACGCTGGCGCCATAGTCATCAACTCCCTTATTAAGGTAAAAGCTCATCCCATGGGGCTCCCCCCCGGCTCTGATTGGCCGAATGCGTTTGTGAGTGCCTCGTACGGGCGCTCAGTTAGGTGTCCTCCTGTCCCCTGCTGTCGTGGTTGTGTAATTTCTGGAATTCAGGGTGCAAGCGATGATACAACCCTTAAGCTAGCAAACAGGAGAGGCACCAGCTGTGAAGTAAACATTTCGTATATATCTCCTCATCCATCTTATCCAGTATAAGGTTGTGGTGAGCTTGGATCTCCTCATCCATCTTATCCAGTATAAGGTTGTGGTGAGCTTGGATCTCCTCATCCATCTTATCCAGTATAAGGTTGTGGTGAGCTTGGAGCTTGTCCCATCAAGCTCAGGGTACAGGACTCTTTGGACATCATGCGTACAAATAAGATTTTAAGTAGTGCCCCTGGGTAACATGCAGGCTAAACGACGCTTCTGTTTTTGTTTCCATTGTTATCTGAGTTTTTCATTAATAAACCACCCAGGCGTTGAGTTGCACATAGTTAGTACTTTGACATTCTGGTTTTGGCTGGCTGGTGTTGACTCACACAGACGCGCACATACACACACAGACACACGGAACTATACACTTTCTTATGAGACACTCCACTGTTCAAGGTTTATGGGTCTGCTGACTGGCTTCCGAAGGTCATCCTCCTCTACGGACGAGCCTCTTTCGCTCTCGGACTAGCTGCTTTTCCTCCATCCCTTTTTCCCCCATTTTTCTGTCCTTTCCCAATCTGCCTTGGCAGCTGAACAAGGCTCGTCTCTCCTCATGCCGCATGCTCCCCTGAGACAGAGAGAACAGCAGGGGGTTATGGGTGGGCGTCGCCTTGGCCCAGCCAATCACAGGCGTCCTTCCAGAGGGTGTGTGTCTGAGGGCCACTTCAGCCAATTATAGCAGAGGAGTCTCAGAGTGGATGTATGTACGGTGTGTTGATAGCGTATCTCAAAAGGGAAAATGTGGTAAGCAGAGAGTGGGGGGCACGTAGTTGGGGGGTGTTACATAATGGGGAAAAAATCTGATGGAAATACAATATATCAAACAGCTCGATGACCAGCCCGACCCTCAAGTTTAAATAGAGATGCACCACAAAAGGGGAAATTCTGCTTTATATAAGAGGGGGGGCACGTAGAGGCAGGTGTTACTCACAGCCTGGGAGGCGTACTCCATATCCCTTCACGTAGATATCAGCCCCCCTCATTACAAACAATCCTTAATGTCTTCTTGTGAGGATAACCTTGCCTGTCTGGTTTCAGTCTCGAGTAGACTATAAATTGTTAGGAGTTTACAACTTGGCTGCAACTTGGAGCCTGGCGCTGAAACTGTGTCTGGGCATTAGCGGGTTTTCCCGCTAATGCTCACATTAGCAGATGGCCGGTTTGGTCGCAGCAGGCTGGACCTTCTCCCACCTGCACTGCGATGTGATTGGACATTGCCCCCCTGTGGCAGCTTGGAGCACTGCATGACTTTGTGTAGACTTTGTTGCCATGGCGCTTTCCTTTGCTGAAAAGGGTATTTACATGAGACCACCTTCCATGTTTTGGTGCTAATTAATTTTTTCCTCCTCCCATTTTCTTTAAGCCTGGTGCAAACAAGGCAGCCAAGTTTGACTACGTGAGTATCAAGCTTCTTTAGTCGGCATTTTTGCTCTTCTTGCAAACTCTACCCTATTTTTGTATAGCAGCATGACCATGGATCCTCCCCCAACCCCCCCCCCCCCCCCCCCATCACGATGACCCTGTGATTAGTGTTCGCTCACACGTCTCATCATCTTTTATCTTAAGCCCCACGATTAAGCCTCAGTGTTGCGTGTCACGTGACCACGTCCCTTTAACAGATGGATGAGTCATTAAGATGCGGGTCTCTGTCTCCCAGGTGATGGATTTCATCAATAAGATGGCAGGACGGGAGTATGTAGGATTCAGCAATGCCACGTGAGTTATCCCACGGCTGCAAAATCGCACACTGATAGAGGGCCGTCCAGTGTCAGAATTATGGGAAAATTATCATGACATAAAGCAATTTCAGGCTGAGGTCGCGTGGGTCGTGTGGGAATCGGCCATGATTATGATAACGACTGGTAATGAGGTGATATCGATCTGCAGCTTCCAGTCAGAGAAGGAGACGGGAGACAGGAATTATGCCATTGGATACTACCTCAAGGAGAAAAAGGTGGGCCGCTGTTTTGGCTCCGGGAGAGGCGGGGGGGGGGGGGATGTGCACTGGGACAGGACTGTGATGTTAGTGAGACGACACTCTCTCTCATTCCCCTGCTCCATCTTTACTCTTTTGTGTTTTTCCATCTCTCCAGTGCTTTCCAGTTGGTGCCGACATGATCGACGCTCTGGACTTTTACTTCCAGGTGAATGAAGAAACCTAACGGTTAATGCCGGAGTAACGGCATGGTGTGGCTCGTCTGGTGTCCCATGCCGCGCGAGTCTGAGGCTGTTTGAGGTCGGCTGCCTCTTGACCTTCGTGTCAGAGCCTCTAGTTAGTTAGTGCTCTGTTTTCAAAGTTCTCCCATCGAAGCCAAGGCCCGTCTGGTCGTTCCAGTCGGTCGCCCAAAGTATCGTGTGGGGATCAGACTGACGTGTCAGCTCGCCTTCCTTCCGGTGTCATGTTCAGACTTTTTTCTGTCCCCTCCCCCCTCCCCAGCTGTGCTCCATCGAGGTGACCTGCGAGTCAGGCAGCGTGATGGCCGCCACGCTGGCTAACGGGGGCATCTGCCCCATCACGGGCGAACGGGTGCTGAGCACCGAGGCGGTGCGCAACACGCTGAGCCTCATGCACTCCTGCGGCATGTACGACTTCTCGGGCCACTTCGCCTTCCACGTGAGTGGCTGGAGCAGGGCACATACAGCCAATCAGGACGTGATCACTTAGGGTGACGCCCATCTTTTCACTTCTTCATCCACTGGCTTTTGATATTGTTCAGTGTTAATCACAATTTCTGTTCATGATACAATTATTATGGTAATTCCTCAGTTTCGTATCTCTGTTATTTTAATTGGTTGGTTAATTAGTTTAATTTTAGATTTAAAAACCTATCCATAATGCAGGGGATGGGGGGCATATAGTGCCAGACTGGACAGCGAACAGGGACATGGGGGGGGGAACATGTGACCCGGGGATGCGAGGGAGGAATGGAGGTGTGGAGGGAGGGATTTAGGTGAAAATAAAACAGACATTTGAAGGATTCTGCAGAAAACAAAACCCAATCTTGTATTAAGTTTTGGGAATAAGTGTTGGGGGAACTGAATTAGGCTGCTAATCACCTGACTGCTTAGTCCCAGGGTGTCTATAGCCTTATAAGGTGCTATGTAGAAACTAGGGTACAACAGACCATAGTTAATCTGTGATGCGTATGGATCACCCCCCACGGTTTGGCTCACATTTGAACCTTCGTTTACTTGCAAAGTTGGACCAAAATAGTGTGAAATACCATCGTCCTGCTGCTGTTTCTTTAGTAATAATTTCCTAAATCTCAATGCTGTGCAAGTCCTTAGAGGACATGGAGGCTTGAAATTCACTTCCCACAACAGGGGAGAATTTCCCACTTATGTGTAGCACATGGGGGGGGGGTTAATTTTTTTTTATTTTAAATTTTCGGTGGGAATGTCATAAGAAAAATGTGCGGATTCAGTTGCATTAGCCGATGGCATTTTTAGTGGAATCATCTTTCTCTTGTTTCCCGAGATAACAATTTTTGTTATTTTGTTATCTGAAGAAAATAACTTGCTATCTCAAGAAAATAACTTGTGATCTCCTGAAAAAAAATTAGACATAAACAATTAGACATAAGATAGAAAAAGGTAAAGATTGGTGTCCTCTGTGGACAGAGGATTCAGAGCTGCAGTGAAAATGTAAGGAACAAAGTAATCCTGTGTTCCCCTGAACAGGGGAGTTTCTCGATTGAACTGTTCTTTAAGTTTTCTGATCCAAAAAATGATCTGATCCCTGACTCAAAAACTGTGATACGTAGCAAACCGTGACTTATGTGATTCATTGCACCCCCATCAGAAACTAAATCTAAAAATCCATATAAACAAAGAGGGAGCCTGTAGACGCACCATTGTACATGGAGGGACGTTTAAGGTCATGGTGTTGGCTGAATCAGGACCTTCAAGAATCAAGCACTGCCTTGGTATATCTGCAGTGTCTATACAATGTTTGGGTTATTTACTGCAAAAAAAAAAGAAGACAAAGACAAAATAACAGTGTCGCCATTGTCTCCCCACTCTGTCGCCGTGTCCCACAGGTGGGATTGCCTGCCAAGTCAGGTGTGTCGGGTGCAGTGCTGCTGGTGGTGCCCAATATCATGGGAGTCATGTGTTGGTCACCCCCTCTGGACAAGTTTGGGAACAGCGTCCGTGGAATCCACTTCTGCCATGTAAGCTGGGACTTCAATGCACTTTGTATAGTATCTCTAGGGTTGATTATTCAAAATATCCTGACTCTGGAGATGATACCGTGACACTGGGGGTCATATTCTGGCCCCTTGAGGCCACATTTTGCCCTGGGGGGCACATCCTGACCCATAGAGACCACATCTTGACCCCTAGAGACCACAATCTAACCCTGTAGGTCACATCTTGATGCAGGCTTCCTGAAAAGGCCCCTATAGACCATTTAAACAAAACCCATTCAGTGTACAATCCTAAGGAATCCAGGAGATCTAACATCTGTTCTAGACAGTGATGAACTTAAAGGCAAACGTGAAAGAAGGTTGTCTCGGAGTCTGCTTCTCTGAGAACCTGAGTAGACTGCCTCATGGGTTGTGAAGTACTCAAGTAAGAATTCAAGTAAACAAGAATAAAAAAACACTGATTCTCTAAATGACTTAACAGCAAACAGTGTACAGGGTCCCACCGATGCATATTACATTACGAGTGTTTAAGAGGCCATGCATATTTCATGCCCATTGTTTAATACTTTAATACTCAGCAGGAAGGAAATTATTACATTTGTTTGCTTATCATGAGGAATGTAACAGCCCAGGCTGATCTGACACTGACTGCTTACTCCCCGTCTGTCAGGAGCTGGTGTCCGTGTTTAACTTTCACCACTACGACAACCTGAGACACTTCATCAAGAAGTTAGACCCACGTAGACAGGCGGGGGATGACTGGGTGAGTGGGTGAGATTATAATTATTAGATTATAATTATAAATGAGCATGGATGTCATTCTGGAATATGTCAACACCTTTGTCATCTTCTCAGCCAAATATCAATGCTGTGTGTGTGTGGATTGGGTTTGTATTACATTGTGGGGACCAAAAGTGTCACGTCAGGATTTTCACTGACATCCTGTGGGTGGTCTATGCTGGGGTATTTGTGATGAGGTGTGTGTGATTTGGGAGTCTTTGTGTGCTCTAAGACAGGATATGAGGAGACCAGGGTGGGGTTCACATTGGGGGTTGGGACCTTGGGTTGTCCAGGGCAGTGTGTGGGTGTGCGTGGTGGCACAATGTCCCGGGGGGGCTGTGTCGCCATCTTGCATAACTCACCTGCAGATCACCTTGGAATCTGGCCTCGGTGGTGTGTGTGCAAAGCCCTCCATGCATGTGCACACATGGGAGGGGTGGCTTAGCGGTCAAGGACGCAGGAGCTGGCTGCCTTTCAAATGAGGCTCTCTTGAGGCACCATTGACCCGGCAGCAAAGGGCTCGTGGGAGTTTTAATTACACAAAAATGTTCTGAGGGCAGAACAAAAAATAATTGGTTCAGAGAGATAACCAATCAGATTGTAGAGGAGGTGGGTCCAAGCAAGTTAGGGAGTTGGGTCCAAGACATGAGATTGATATGGTCCTCTAGTTGCTTGGATCCACCTCATGTAAATCTCACATGAGCCGGCAAAGGAAACATTCAACAAGATCCTGCTCAAGGTCCAGTTGAACTTCAGCAGATGTACATTTATGTTTCTGACCAGTGACAATGTACCTCTGCTTTCTGCCTTATATTGTCTGCAGTGGGACTCCAGGCCCCTAACCTGGACACACGTTTGGAAAATGAATGGATGAATTACATTGAGGCAAAAGAGAGTGAAATTCATATGATTGGATTGGTCTAACATTAAGTGTACACAGATGTTTGAGTATTCAAGCAGAAAGAAGCTGTCTACTGATTTGTTACCAGCATAACTAACGGACGGGCAGCTAAAGCGCCACACCTGTTTAAAAATTCATTCAAGATGAATTCAGCACTTTAAAGGGTAAAGTGTCACTTCAAGTAGTTTGACCGCAAATGTTTCCTTTGACCAAACAGAACAAGTCCGTGGTCAACCTGATGTTTGCGGTGCACAGTGGCGATGTGTCTGCGCTGAGGAGGTACGGTATAAATCCCTCTTATTCGTGTGTTTCTTTGAACTAAGGTTGGCATGGTTGACAGAATCCTCTGTGCAGGTTCGCACTGTCATCAATGAACATGGAGCTTCAAGATTACGACTCTCGCACGCCTCTCCATGTGGCAGCTGCTCAAGGTGAGTTCCTGGGCACTTGGTGATGAATATGTATAAACTTTGCCCCCTAGTGGCAGAGTGATTATCTTGCCACTCAAGCTCAGCTGAACCTTCTCGTTGATGTATTCAGGTCACGTGGAAGTTGTGCTGTTTTTGACAGAGGTGTGCAAAGTCAACCCTTTTGTGAAGGATAGGTAAGAACCCTTTATCACCCTTTGCTTTTCTCTCACTCTTTTTTCCATTCCGTCCATCAGTGAGCTCCTCTCTGTCCGTCATTTTTTGTGTCCAGTCGACACACGTTTCCTCCATCTCACGCTTCTCCAAGAACACCCACCCATCGCCGATTTTCTACTCTTTACTAGGTGGGGGAACGTTCCGCTGGATGATGCCCTGCACTTTGGCCACGAGCACGTGGTGAAGGTTCTCCAGCAGTACCAGCGTGTCTACAGCGAGCAGGGATCTCCGTCCAAGATGGAGGATCTGGAAAAGCTTGCGGCTGTGAAGGGGATAGCCTGAGGCAGGATGAAGCCAGAGAAGGAGGTCCAGCAGAGCCCAAAGTGGTGGTTTTTGGCATGTTACGGAGACTAGTTATGGAAGTTGGTGGAACTGAGGAAAAATCCTAAGTTAAATAGCTCAACATAATTATCCTCGTGATGCACACTAACTATTCTGTTTATCAAATAATCCTTTGCCCTTGTTCTCTTTTGCTGTGCCCTGCTGTTAGGACGCCCTCTAGTGGACACCCTTAGTCTGGGCCAAAGCAATGAGTGGCAGTATTTTCTGGAGCATGTGTCTTTGCACAGGAATGAATATGGGCATGTGCATAGCCCAGCGGAGGATATGATGTGATGCCATTTTGATGTCACATGATGTCTCAGGAAAATCTTCATAGTATTCGATGGGTGTTCAATTACCCTTCAAAGCACAAATGCGCACACACATTCAGAACATCACACTCTGGATGAGAAACTGATTTTGTACCAATTGCATGTTCTGAAAGACTTTGAAAAAAGTATTTATATTCTGGACATTCAGACAGAGCCTTACCAAGCTTTTTTAAGTATTATTTATTATACATTCAAGCAGAAGAGAATAAAATATATATTGAATAATATAGTACAATTAGATCTGCTACATGTTGTGTTCTTAAACTTCTTGTTACGCTTCCATTCTGACCATTTGGTCTATTTATTTATCATATAGGGGGTAACTTCAATATTAATGTGAATGAGCCCAACACCGTATTTACTGCATGTCACTCCTCCTGCCTTTTCACGCGTGCAGCCTGAGCCGTCATTTTCGTCCCTAAAGCCACAGCTGAGTGACACATGCCTGGGTAAGATCTCCTCAAGGCCGTTTCAGAAACGGTGGCCGTGAGCCCGCTGCTGTAAATAAACGTTTTTGTTATTATTTTATTTTATTTTTTTGCTTGAGGAAATTTCGGTCTGTGCTTGAATAGGTAATATCACATGATGTGAAGGATGGTGAAGTGTGTACATGTTGCTCAGGGCTTAAGTGGCAAGAAAACATCATTCTTTCATTCAGTCGTTCATTCTCCAGGCCTGCTTGTCCTATTCACCTGCTTCCTTTGTGCAGTTAAGCTGTTCGTTTCAATTCGGACTAACCTTTGCGTTTAAAAAGGCAATTCGATCCATTCAAAAATATGTTGTGTATATATATTCCGCCAGTGTAAATAAAGGTTATTGAATGATTATTGAAAGTGCCTCAAATTTTCTTTTAAAAGATTGACATCAGATATATATATATGTGTGTATATATATATATATATATATATATATATATATATATATATATATATAT